ATGGGTGCGGATGTTCATTTCTAGCTGTTGTTGTTTAACACAGTCAAAAGAGCCCTGCTGCCAATGCAGCAGTGAAAACAGGGCTTTTCTTTTCCTGCTGAAGGCTGTAATTCTACTCCTGCTATTCTGGCTCTCCCTGCCTAGAAAAATAGTATGTGAAACAATGTGACTTCCGAGTAAAATTTTCATTACTTTCTCATTTGCCAATCATGTATAAGCTAATTCAATTACAGAAACCCTGTAAGAACACATGCTATCTAGGTAGAGTATAATACATACACCCTAAGACTTGGCAAATTATACTTTTATATCTTTTCTGTAGAGAAACTCTTGCATATGGTCACAAGGTGATAGAACACAGCTAACAAAAGTGAAAAACCCTCTAAAAGTTGAAGAGAATCAGATAAACTTATCTGGTCTTACAAGAGAATGCTAATCAGTGGCTAAAATGAATGACCTAGAAATGTACGAACAAAGATAATCTCAAAGTTATACTGCTGACATAAAAGATACATAACATCATTACTAATGAGGGAAATAATAATTAAAACCATAATGAGGTGCCATTTCCCACATACTAGGATGGCTATTTAAAAAAGGCAGATAACAGGTGTGAGAGAGAATGTGGGATCACTGGAACCCTCACATACTGCTGGTGGGAAGGTAAAACAGTATAGTCAACTAGAAAACAGTTTGGCAGTTTATTAAAATATTAAACACAAATTTACCAAATGACCCAGCAATTCTCCTCTTTGGTAGCCACTAAAGAGAAATGAAAATACATACCCATACAAAGATTTATACAGAAATGTTAAGAGCAGTATTATTCTTAAATGCCCCAAGGTGAAAACATCTCAAATATCCATCAACTGATGAATCAATGAAATATATCCGAACAATGCAATACTATTATGCAATAAAATGGAATGAAATACTGATAAAGATACTATAATATGGATGAACCTGAAAACAGCTAAGTGAAAGAAGCACGGCACCAAAGATCACATACTGTATGATTTCATTTATATGATATATCCAGAAAAGGCAAATCATGAGAGATAAGAAAGGAAATTAGTTGGGGTTGGAGATGAGAACAGGTGTGACTGCAAATAGACATAAGGAATCCTCTGTGGTGAACAGAATGTTCTAAAATTGAATCATGGAGATGTCTGTACAATTCTGTAAACTTAGTATATATCATTGACTTAAATACTTAAAAAGAGTAAATTTTATGTTATTTAAATTATACTTCAATTAAATTATTAAAAAATATAATGTTGAATGAAAAAAGCAAGTTACTTAATCTATGCCAAGTAGGACATGATTTATGTACAATTTAAACCCTAAAATAATAATATATATTGTGAATATACATATATAAGAAAATAGAAAACCATATATGGTAACAGTTTGCACCAACTTCAGAACAGTGCTTACCTCTAGAGATGAAGAAAAGGTAAAGGAATGGGAGAGGGGTATTTGCTGTATTAATGGTGTTTGTTTCTCAGGGAAAAAAAATTTCGCTAATCAACAAAATACTAATATCTCAGTGCTACATATACATAATGTCTGTTATGTATGGGGTTTTCTGTATACTTGAAAGAAAACCTCACCTTTGCTCAACTCTGTGTCTTTGTGGACTTCCACCATATTAGCCGGTGTACACTGAAGAATTTCAGGAGACAGAACCTCAGAGTGCAATGTTAACTCAGCAGAGAACTCCTGGGATCCATCGCTGTAGTCCACAGATCTTGATAATGTTCTGCTTAATTAAAACATATCCTTTATAACAAACTAAATAACAAAGAATAAAATTAGTTCTGAGATCCATAATAAATAACGACTTACACAGAGAAATCGTTCTGTTTGAGAATTTCCTGAAGTCTCTTCTGAAATTTTTTTTCACTTTCTGTTGCTGGCATAAACCTGCGATCTTTGAATTTTAAAAGTGCATTAAAAAATGTAGATAGCAAATGAATGAAATATTTTCCTTTTTCCTAGAGTAGCTATTAAAATGGTAGCAATTTCCTATCCCTCCCTTGACACATACCACCACTTGAAGGTAATCCTATTATAAATCAAACAAAAGGTTGTTACTGAAGCTATAAAATTAAGCACTTAAAGTAAGTTCAAGATTAAGTTATATAATTATAACAAATTTAAAACAGATACACCCTGAACCTAGAAATTTTCCCTTATAAGAATTCAATATTTCTATTTTAAAAGGCATTCAAAATCTATCAAAGCATTTTTTTTTTTTAATGGGGGTACTGGGGACTGAATCCAGGACCTGGTGCATACTAACTAAGCACACACACTCTGTCACTGAGCTATACCTCCTCCCCCCATCAAAGCATTTTTAGTGTGCAAGAGATTATAATAAAAAATTTAACTGGACTTCAATATAGGCTTACTGTTGTATTTTAAATACGTTTGCCTTTTGAATTATGTCTTTTATTCTTTTACCTTTATTTAAATTTTTTTCTTGTATCCATGGAATTATTTAAGCCCCCTCACATTCTTTTTCAATGTATTGGGGTTTAGTAAAAAATGAAATGAGTATTTTCTTCAGAGCTGTAAAAGGTAATCAAAATGAGAGTTTATATGACATATCCAGAAAATAATTTGGGAACAGAATTTCATGGGTTACATTTTCAAAGCTTAATGAACAAAGTGTTTCTAAGTCGGGATTCATTCTCTTCTGTAAGTATTCTATAGCTCATCTGGAAATACAAAAGGGTTAGAACGTACCAGAGAATGAAAAAGGAGCAAAAAGGTAGGGCAAGAGGACACAGTACAGTGAAAACCAAGGACGATGAAGATGTCAATTGTTGAGGAAAGAGACAATGAGTGACACTTTGGAAATAAAGAATTATGGTTCAGGGTAAGGGAAGGTAATAGCTCAGTGGCAGAGCATGTGCTTAGCATGCACGAGATCCTGGTTCAATCCCCAGTACCTCCATTAAAAATAATAATAATAATAAAATACAACAGGAAATACTTTTAAAGAAAGAATTATGGCTCAGAGCAACGACAACAGGAAAAATATAGAAAATTTAAAGGTAATTTGAAAAGTAAAATCTAATATCAAGGTAAAAACTAAATGGTTTAAACTTTTCCATTAAAAATACCTAGTTAAAAAAATCATCAGGGTATTACTAGGTTTATACCTTGTGATTCGGGTTGGCTAATTTGAGAAGTTTCATTTCTGTTTCTTCGCCGTTGCTTTTCATCTTCCCATATGGCCTGTAGACCAGGGTTTCCACCAATTTGAGCTGTAATCACAACAATACTTAAATACTGTAAGGGTTAAAGTGAAAAATACTTGCTTAAAACAAAATCCGTACTTTAAAAAAATGCTGCCCTTTAAGAAAAATAATTACCTACTTTGTGTAATAAAATAGACAAACTATCCCAACCTACATTTACTATGTTACTCCTTTTTTAGTTTTCCCACTAGTTCCCCAAAACCCAGCAAGTGAGTAATATTCAAACATCTGATGATAGCCAATAGACCTAAAAGTCCCCTACCTAGTATATAACTTGAAAATAAAAAAATTAAAAGGCAGAGCATATTAAGTTCTTTTAAAATGGCTAATTTATTTAGTGTCACACTTACTTTAGGTTTAGGTCTGTGCAAACAAACTCATGAATGAAAGCATAAATGAAAAAATAATAACTATCTCATGAGAGGTACAAAAAAATCTTCATAACATTTAATATCCTCCTTTAAATAATCTTACTTCTGTAGTAATGTTTTCTTCCCTACTTCTTTCACTCTACCCTGGTCACTGATTTTTAAAAATAAAAGCATATATTAAGAATAACTGAGTATATACCTTCAATGTCCAAACGATTTAAGATATCAGCGGCTACAGCATCCACTTCTAATTCACATGTACTCTGTGGTTCAACACCTTCCAGTATTAAAGAGCTGTATTAAAAAGACATGGTAACCATGTAAGAGAAATTTTCTGAAAGTTTTTCTTACACAATTTTTCATGTTTAGGTAGTAACCAGAAAAGTCAGAGATATTATATTAACTCACAATTATTCATGACATAATTGATATCTGTGGTATATACAAAAAAAAAGCAGGAAGAGAAAAATACAAAACCTATTATACTGACAACTCTACTGAGATCATTTTGGAGTATATTTTACACATTTTGGTTCATTAAATTTTTATATATAAGTGATGTACAATGTTTTAGCATGTGGGTCACATCCAGGGCAGAAGGGGATACGATAACAGAGGGACAACAGAGGGGACACATCAAAAACCATACACATATGCAATCATTTGCCCAGAGTTATCTATCTCAGCAATCAAATCTCAGCATCTAAAAAATGAGGAGGGACTATACGTCAAGAAGTGAGGGGAGAGATGAACATACTGAAAAGTGGGCAAAATGATACTGTTCTCCCTGACCTCAACTACTGCTTAGCGGGGAAATACTTTAAAATTCTCCGTAACTACAGAATTGAGAAACCACATGAGTTCAACAGTGCAGTCATAGGTAGGAAAAGAGATGACATCATTAGGTCATTACTTTTTATGAGAACTACAGAGAGCTATTCTCAACTAATGCTCTTTGACTCAAAAGCATCTTTGTTTTTCATCAGAGCCACAGAAAGATTAGGAAGATATCACGTAACTGTCCCTGCTTGGCAGAATGAACATGTGACAACTAGTGTGGATCACAGTTTACTTATTCCAAAATTTAGATCTCCTAACAATATGGACACCAAATGAAAAGCAGAGAACTTTTACTAGAAAGCAGGTGATGGGAAAGTTCATTAACATTTTCATTAGAAACATTCTAAAATATTTTAAGAGAAACGTATCAACAAAACCTCTTTTTCTTTTGCCCATTTTTTAAATTGAGTTATGTCAGTTTACAATGTTGTGTCAATTTCTAGCGTAGAGCACAATTTTTCAGTTATACATGAACATACTTACATTCATTGTCACATTCTTTTTTGCTGTGAGCTACCACAAGATCTTGTATATAGTTCATTAACATTTTCACTAGAAACATTTTAAAATATTTTAAGAGAAACATATTAACAAAACTTCATTTTCCATTGTCTATATGTAAGGAAATTTTGATGAAATATTAGAAATTAATTTAACCACAGAAGTTTTACAATTCAAATAAATAGACACAGAACACACACTATATCTTTTTAACACTGATAGAGAAGAGACATATTAGTCAACCTACCACAATATATTCATCCCTTTAACTTTCAGAAAAAATAACTCTCAATGTAGTTTGTTTTCTTTACTCATATAATTTAACAAAATCAGTTTTGCCATGAATAAAAGCACCAGATAGAACAGTTTTTGGTCAACAGTTTTCTCCTTTATACTAAAAAGTTTCACAATTTTGAAAGAATTATATTAGAAATTTCAGGGATGGACTTTCTAGGAGTAGCACATTTGTGGCAAAGGAGGGAAACAGTAACATTAAAAAAATGCAACCTCATAGTAGAAATTCACAACTATTTCTTGACCTTATTACAAAAAGTACTTCAGACATTCAGAACAGGAGGTGTTCCTAGGGAAAGGAAGTAGTTTTCAGAATTAAACATCTGTTTTCAGTAGATAGAAAAAAACATGAATAAAAAACTAGAGTCAGCAAATACATGTACACCATTCATTTTAGTCACAAAAGATAGATAAGCAATAACAATGGCAATTAGACAACTGCCTCTCTAAACATCTCTATTCACAGCTTAACACAACAGATCTACAATTTACAATCATTAAGAGTGGAACTCAGACAGCTATAAATTAAAAAATCTCTTCAAATCATTCTGATGGACAGTCAGGGTTGAGATTACTGTAGCAGACTTTGGTGAATTCAACACTCTGGCAATGACCCTGAAGGTCCGTGAGACATGGTAATTTACAATGAGCTGGCAAATAAGGTTAGCAGAGCTGCTAACTCAGCAGTCTCATCTCATTAACAGATTGTTGCTCTCTATTTGTTATGGTCCTTGTAATATCATTTGTGAAGAATTATAAAACTTTTTTTTTGTTTAAAAAAAAAAGAAGGTTCTAGCACTGGGGGTAAAAATGAGACTAACAAAATTTAAAAGTACTGATTTGACAAAAACAGTTGACATTATATTTGGATTTGATGAACTTATAGATTTTCGTGTTTACTACAATATAAGCATCCTAAAAATATGTGACAAAAATACATAGCTACCCTACATTTATTGTAAATTCAATTCTGAATACCTTGTCTAATTTCACTAGTTTGCCTTTTCATATCTTTGCCTATAATTTGTCAATTCTTAAAGGTAATAAAATAGGCCCCTTAAAAACATTTAAAATTTAAATTTTTCATTATAATACAGAGTTTCCCCAAACTCCTAAGCAGTGTAGTTTTACTATAGTCGTATGACCTAATCAGAAAGATGTTTGTTCAAAAAGACTTCAAATACAAATAAACTTTAACTTGAGTTGATCGTGCAAAAAACAAGTTACAAAATGTAGAACTCTGAAAACCAGGGGATCTAGTGAGTAGGTAAAACACTTGGATTAAGGTGCCTTGCTCCAGTTTTAGAAAGACAGAGGAACTGTATTAGAGGCATAAAAAATGAGACAGTAAGTAGCTTGTTGGTCACTTTGTGCTGGACTGATTAGAGCTTGAATTTGATGTGGTAAATAATGTTCTCTCTAAATTTAATACCATTTCAACATAGTTATAAAAATAATTATGCCTTATCTGAGAAGGAACCAAGAAGTACACGTGTATATATACGTGAATGACTTTTATCACAAAGTCCGGGAGGGGGGGGGATAGCCCAGTGGTAGAGAGTATGCTTAGCATGCAGGAGGTCCTGGGTTCAATCCCCAGTACCTCCATTAAAAAAAAAAAGTCCTGATACTTGTTGATTGAAATTCAGAGGTAAGGCAAGTCACTGTCTATATTACTTTGAAGTCTTCAAAGTCTCATTCTGGTGTAATAGTCCAGTTATAAAACAATGTATTTCAATTATTTAATGAGATTCTTTCTTAATTTTAGGTCTTTTAAAAAAGCCCAAGTAGGGAGGGAAGGTATATCTCAGTGGCAGAGTGCATGCCTAGCATGCACAGGGTCCTAGGTTCAATCCCCAGTACCTCCAATAAAACAAATAAGTAAATAAATAAACCTAATTACTTCCCCACCAACATAAATAAATAAATAAAAAGATTAAAAAAAAAAAGCCCAAGCAATTCTGTAATATGGAAATTCTGTGAACATATCAGAATCTTAAACTATATAAATTAACCTCTAAAGAAATATTTTTGTGACAGTTTATCTTCAATTTATTAATAAATTCACATTTTCTTATCAATGAAATAAAAAAGTCATTTAATTAAACACTTTTCCTACTTTGCACTCTTCATAAAAATATCTGCTTAAAAAGTATCAGGTGATATATGTGTAGTAAAAAGAGGAGAACCATACCACCCTATCAATAAAAGATCAATGATCAATAAAAGAATTAAGAAAGCTTGGGCAACACTTTGTGGTATAAAACAAAAATCCTCTGAGTTATACATAGATAAAGCTACTACTGATAATTTAGAAAGGCACTGATTACATGTCTGCTTGATGGTAGGGAAATCTAAGCATTTGGAATATGTTACCTCTTCCAAGAAAGTCTAATAAATAATAAAATCATCAAAAGAAATCACAAATTGTATTATTCATATACACTGTGTCAACCTACTTTCTTCCGACAAATATTTAGAATTATTTAATATTTAGAAATATTTAGGGGTTATTTTTATTAAAAATATTTGCTATTTAGGTTTTAAGTTGCTATCTTATTATGTGATTTTTACTTGATAAGTTATAGGATATCAATTTAAAATGTACAATGAATATGGATGCTGGAGAGAAGTATAAAAATTTATACCCAGATTTCTTTTATTAATTAGGTAATAACAAGGTATATTTTCACGGTCTATTTTTGAAATCTATGGCTCCATAAGACATACTTATGTTGAAAGTTGCTTTTTTGATCAACTTATATAGATAGATTTGATCAACTTATAGAAACAATTATAATAAAGGATAAAATTAAATAATGCTAACCATTAATTTCTGAATACAGTAAGATATATGTAAACAAGTTTTCTTTTCTTTTAGAACATTAACTAACCTTGGTATTTCATCTTCTTCCCACCGAAATAAAGTACCAGTAAGAGAATTTTTTCCTGGTAACCGATCCTTGCAATATCCAGTCGCACGCAATGGACTGCCTAGGAATAAAAAGGTAAAAGGGGGTAAGTTCCACTTTTAACGTACATATAATTATCTTTTAAGTAAATTAACATACAATCAATATCACTAGTTCCTAAAATTGTGTCCTAAAAATTCATGCACATACTGGAATGCACAGTGGACAGTACTGATTCCAAACTGAGAGGGGGGAAAAGTATTTGCAATACATGAATTCTATAATTCTAGTGGAAATCAGATTCCAGATGAAATTCAAAACATACTTGAATACTAATCCCTGAATAAAAAGAAAATATACAATGCATTCCAAAAGTAATGTCAGTAACAGTAAGTGGAAACCTGAGGCAAACGCAAATACAATTTGACCAGAGGTTGGAGGGAATTACATTATTTGCTTAGTTGTTCTAGCTGCAAAAACTGAGTACTGGGGTCATCCTTTGGAAATAATCTCTAAATTTTAGCAATTTATCGGTGATGTCTTATGGAAATTTAAATTTTCAGTAAGAGAAAGCTTGAGTGAATGGCACAGAAAGAATCCTAACATTAAGAAAGATACTAAATTTGCAATCCTTGCCAACTAAATTTAATACTTTTTCTTATCTGGTTAGCTTGATCTAAAAATGATTAATTAGACACCATCTTTGCTATTTCAACAAAACACATACCAAACCATGTAACTGATTCTATGTATCTTCTGAAGCTTTTGAAGACTTTGTTGTTATGAGGCTAAGGCATTTATATGAAATTACTTTGCAAGTTGCAAATTACAACATAAATATTATTTTCTAATAAATTTATATGAATGAATAAGCTACATAAGTTTACTGATTCAACGTTATTCATCACATTATGAAAATTCACTTTATCCTCCACTTTATGTATTATTTTACTGTGTAGTGTTTTATAAATATGTATGTGTAATATTTTACATATATAAAATTCTGTTCAACTCGATGTTAAAAATGCAATATAAAAATAGCTCTGTGATGCTAAAAACATTTACTCTATTTAAATACTTCTATAGACTTTACCTTAATAGTAATTAGCATCATTTCCATTTCAATTGACAACTGAGTATGTAACTGAATACTGAGACAAAACTGTATAAGGGTGTATATTATTAAAATTTCTAAATCTTTTTCACTTTTGAATTTACTTTCAAAAGACTGCATTATGATTACACTAACTTGTCTTACAAGATAAAAATGTTAAGTTATGCATATATATGTAATATGTTTATAATAAGTTTACTGTTCATTTAATTACGATGCATCTGAGATAACAAGACAAAAAAAAATTCACCTATTATCTCCATGATTTCAGTATAACCAATCTTATTTTTTACAAAACAACAAAAACCTTTGGGGTATTTAGTAATAATAAATTAAGATAAAAATTTTATTTCCTCATACTTGAAATTTCCCTACTTTTAATTTTTTCCAACTAAATTCCACATATTTCTGCCTTCAAATTGAAAAAATTTTGCATATTTTTGGAAAAAAAATCCCTTCGAATACTCACCTAACTTTGATAACTAAAATAAATGGCTTATATATAGTTGCTAATTCAAACTTTCCTCATGCGTTTTCATCTAATGGAAACAAACTTTTGTGAAAATGACCTCCTTTTCCATAAAAACCTCCGTACATACTGTATAATCTTTTCCATTCCTCAATCTTTCTTAAACTCCCAGCTATATTTGACACTGATAACCAACCTGTTATTCTCTTTTCCCCCAATAACCTTTTTATTTTGGAATAATTTTTGATTTACAGAAAATCATTACGAGGATAATACAGAAGGTTTCTGAATAATGCTTACCATGTCTCTCCCCCTGTTAACATTTTATATTACCATGGTACATTTGTCAAAACAAAGAAACTGGTATGTTCCTATTAACTAAACAACACACTTTATTTGAATTTCACCTGTTTATTCACTATTGTCCATTTTCTGTTTCAGGATCCAATCTAAGGTACCACACTGCAGTTAGTTATCATGTCTCCCTAGTCTCCTCTGGTCTATTTCTGTCTTTCCTTGTTTTTTATGACCTTGACAGTCATATGTACTGGTCAGGTAACCTATAGAATGTCCCCCAATCTGGGTATGTCTGATATTTTTCTCATGATTCGACTGTCTTCATGGGCTTTTGTGAAGAATACCACAGAGCTGATGTGTCCTCATCACATCATGTGCAACGGTACAAGATATCCACATGACAGCTCATTGGGGATATTAACCTTCAATACTTGGTTAAAGTACAGTTCTATAGATTTGTTGAATGCACAGAATCATACTATCATGCTAGTAATGTAAAGAATAATTTCCTTCATCCGAAAAGTTCACCTGTATACTTGCTTGGCAGTCAATACTCTACTCTTCTCCAATTCCTGGCAACCATTAGTATGTTTTCCATTACTAGAGTTTTGTTTTGCCTTTACCGGAATATTATATGAATGACATCATACAATTTACAGCCTTTTGAGCCTGGCTTTTTTCACTTAGTAAAATGCATTTAAGATTCACCAATGTTGGATGAATCAACAGCTTGATGTGTTTTACTGATAAATAGTATTCCACAGTATGGATATATAACGGTTTATCCACTGCCCCACCAAGTGGACATCTGGGTTACTTTCGTTTTAGCAATTATGAAATAAAGCTATTATAAACATTTGCATACAGGTTTTTGGGTGGACGTAAGTTTTAAACCACTTGGGTAAACATTTATGAGTGTAATCTCTGGGTCATATGGTAAGTCTATGTTTAACATTACAAGAAACTGCCAAATTCTTCCAAAGTGACTGCACTATTCTGTATTCCCATCGGCAATGAATGAGAGTTGCTGTTATTCCACATCCTTATCAGCATTTGTTATTGCTAGTATTTCAGATTTTAACCATTCTAATAGGTGTGTAATGGTAGCTCTTTGTGGTTATAATACACATTTTTGTAACAATATATAATCATCTTTTCATGTGTTTTCCATCCTCATATCTTCTTTGTTGAAGTATCTTTCAGGTCTTTTGACCATTTTTAATGGGCTTGTTTGCTCTCTTATTACGTTTTAAGAGTTCTTTATATATTCTAGATATAAGTACTTTATCAGATACGTAATTTGAAAACATTTTCTCCCAGTCTGTGACTTACCTTATCATCTTCTTAATATTATTTTTTACAGAGAAAAAGTTTTTAACTTTGACAAAATCAATCTGTCAGGCAGATTTTCTCTTTCTAGAAGTCTGATAGTTATACATTTTACATTTAAGTCTATGATCCACTTTGAGTTAATGTTTATACAACATGTGAAGTATGTGTTTGGGCTCTTTTATTTTTATTTTCTGGCCTATGTATATCCAACGATTCTACCACCTTGGATGAAGTTCTAGGTTTGGGATTCTCTTTTAGTTCCAGGAGACTCAAACAGTGCTAAAATGTCTCAAAGGTTGCTCTACTTCCTAGTTTGGGCATTATCTATATGAAACTCTACCTTATTCTATTTGAAACCTGTCAAGCAGACCCTGAGTTATTTCTGCCTCCCTCACCTAGCAAAGCTGTCTCAGTGAAGGTTCTAAATTTTCTAGGATTAGCAAACCCCTCAGGGCAAAGGCTGTTTTCAGCACTCTATTCTCTGTTTTGGCCAGTACTTCTTTATTGTTTTGTGATCTCTGTGATATATAAAGATTAAAAATAAAATCTTTAAATTGTTTTTAGTAAGAGGGCTGATACCAGTAACCTAGCCCACCATTCAGAGGGGGAAAAAAAAATCCCCTGGTTACTTTTCACAGCACAGTTGGGGTATGGCAGAAGAAATGCAAGGAGTCAAACCAGAAAAGAATGGCTGGTAAACTACCGACAGGAAAAACAAACAAACAAAAAAAACCAAACAACTAACTTCTGGTTTTAAAAGTTTGGCAGTGAAGGATAAGAAAAAAAATTATAACAGAAAGGAATTGGAGGAAAAATGTTGGTTTCATTTTGTTTTAAGTAGAAGAGATAGAATCTATTGAGAATAAAAGGCCAACGATGCTAGACCATTTGACCCAGAAATTCTATTCCTAGGTATATGCCCAAGAGAAATGAAAACATATGGCTACACAAATATATGAATGTTCACAGCAGCATTGTCCATAATAGCCAAAAGGGGGAAACCCAAATCGTCTATCCATTGATGAATCAATAAACAATGTAGCATATCCATATAACATATTAGCTGGCCACAAAAAGGAATGAAATACTGATACATGCTACAATATGGATGAACCTTGAAAACATTAGGCTAAGTAAAAAAAAAAAACCCAAACATATGATTCCATTTATATGGGATATGCAGAATAGGCAAACATACAGAGACAGAAAGTAGATTAGTGGTTGCTAAGGGGCAGAGGTGTAGGAAGATTGGGGTGACTGCTAAAGACTTTGGGGTTTCCTTTAGAGGTGTTGAAAATGTTCTAAATTTGATTATGGTGATGGATGCACAACTCTGTAATATATTACAAACCACTGAGTTATCCATTTTAAATCAGTGAATTATATGGTATGTGGATTATATCTCAATAAAGCTATTAGAAAAAGGATCGAGATTATTTTCCTGATTAAACTCTAAGAACTTTTTGCTTACTTCTTTTTTTATTCCTTATCCACTTAGCAGTTATTTTCTAAATATATATTATTTTACAAATCATCATTTACATAATACTTGTTTCAAAGATTTAATTTGAACTTGAGAAATTAACCTTACTTTTCCTTCTTGCTTTTCGGAACTTGACAGCAGCCAGATTTATTAAATTCATTCCATACAGATTGTAGTCAATGAAGAGCTGTAGGAGGTAGGGAATATGCGCTTCATGAGGCTGATAAAATTTATTCATTATGGCTCCACTTTGCAAAAGTTCACATATCCTAAATTAGAAAAAAAGTTGTATCATAAAATTCTGCTTCCTAAAATGGTAAGTGAAACAATGATTAAACAAATAGAGGATAAAACACATTGTATTATTACACAATTTTAATTTCAATTTTACCAGTAATTTATATTTTGTTGAAAATTAAATCAAGTTTTAAAGTAAGCCACATGTTCTGAAAGAAAGTGACAAAATGTTCTTGGATGAAGAATATTTTGACTTCTAAAATCAATATAATGCTAACTATATTGAAAAGGTAAGTTGTCAAAAAAGTTTTTAAAATAACGAGCTTTTTCTTTTAAAAATTCAGAAAATTTTTGAAAAGATTATTCTAAAGTTCTAAAAAGGGAAATATGACTCAATCCACCACTCAGAGATGTTATCACTTTAATATTTTCCTTCTGACTTTATTTTCCTTAATGATGGGGAATACAAATGGTAGACAATTATAAATAGTATAAGTGCTATGCACGGGAAGTATATGAAATGTCTAGGAAGGATATTAAGCAAATAGAGGTGCAGAGGTAATTTCTGCAAAGCCTTCTTGAAAATTAGTCTCTAAGCAGGAGAATAAACAACGAACTTGAACAATGAACAAAGAACTCTAGAAAATTTTTCTCTGAAGAAAGAGTATTTCATGAAAATAAAATTGCACATGTAAAGGGTCATAAGAAAATGTGGTTTATTCAAGAACTGAAACCACAGAGTGAGGCCTAGTGACAGGGCTGTGGTGGTAGTGAGGAGCGTAGAGAGATAATAAGAAGTCAGATCATGCAAAGCCTATGAAGACATTTGAAGAGATGGTGGAATTTGCCTGTGAAGTGACAGGAACGCAAAATGACCAGGTTAGCTAGAGAATGCATAAGATTAGAGATAGGGAGTAAGAAGATTATTGTGAAAAACTAAGATGGTGGTGGCTTTAACAAGGATCATGGAAATGTGTTGATTCAGGAGACATACAAGGTATAAAACAGTCAAGCCTTGATGACTAACTAGATGTAGAGGGTGAGGTAGAATGTAAATTGAGGATAATGCCTGCATTTCTTGGTTAAGCAGTTAGTTTCGTGGTGCTGCAATTACTGAAACAGAAAGGACTGGAAGAAAGGTTTCTTTGGGGATGTTTTTTGGAGGGGGGAAATAAAGATAAACTCAATTTTAGAGATATTAGAGTTTCGGTATACTGGAGTATTTAGGTAGACTTCCGTGAAAATATTAGAAATGAATGATAATGAAGATTATGATAAAGATAATTAACAGAATGGAGATAGCTAACATATTTTTTTGGCACTATGCACTGGACAACTGTGTTAGGTGCTTTAAATGCCTAATCTCAAATAATCCTTATTAAAAAACTATGGTGCTATTATCTCCATTTTATCAATAGAGAAACTGAGTCTTACATCAAAAAGTTGCCCCAAATCATACAAATAAAAAGTAGAAAAGCTAAAATTCAACCCAAATTTTCTGACATGAGCCCTCACTCTTAACTATAGTGCTATTCTATTTATCCAGACGGTTTGATATATTGATCAGGAGCTCTGAAGGAAAATTTAAGCTATGACTAACGGAAGTCAAAAGTATAAAGATTAAAAAACAAACCATGGGAGCATATAAGACTGCAAAATAAGTGGAACATATAGAGAGAAAAAAATGAAAGCATAAGACAAAAGTCCAATGAACAACCACAGATGTTAAAAGAGGAACCAACAAAATGGCATAAATATGAATGACCAGACAGATATGCAGAAAACCAGAAAGTTTATATCAAAATAACCTTATTTTAAGGCAGTGTAAGCATTGACATTAGGTCAAAAGGTAAAGACAAAGAGGTATTAATTGGATTTAACAACACTGAGGTCATTAATGAAAGCAAATTTAGTGAAATAGTTGAAATAGAGCTCATACTGAAATAATTTAGAGTGAACAGGAGGTAAGAAATTGGACTCAGGAAGTATAGATAAATTCTTCTGGGAGATTAGCTATGAGTATGAATGTGTCTTTGAGTATGAATGTGTATATGTGTAAAATTAACAGTTTTACTAATACTTAAATAGTGTGGAAAGAGATATGAAGACAACTGATAGATGGAAGAAAAGGTCAAAGAGGGTGGATTTTGAACTTTGGAGGTGAAGGGGGAAATCTGTAACAGGCAATGAGAAGGACAGAATGGATGTGAATAGATTTTAAGAATCTTTGATAAAAAATAAGAGAGCTTTATTCCAGTAGTTCTCAAACTTTTTGGTCCCAGGATCCCTTTTCATTTTTAAAAATTATTGACAGCGTCAAAGAGCTTTTGTTTATGTGGCTGATATCTACTGATATTCACCATATTAAGTTGAAACAGAAAATTTTAAGAAACTTATTTACTAATTCTAAAATAACAACAAACCCATTATATCTTAACATAAATAAGTTTTATTAAAAAAAACCTGATATTTTCCAAAACAAAAACAATTAAGCGAGAAACGAGGAATTGTTTTACATGTTTGCAAATCTCTGTTTTAATAGAAGACAGCTAGATTCTCATATCTGCTTCTGCTCAGTCTGTTCTGATATACTGTTTGGTTGAAGCATATGAAGAAAATAGCTTCACACAGATATGTAATTGAAAAAAAGAAGAGTAACTGAATAGCTTTTTCAGATAAACGCTGATCTCTGATACTACTCATTTGGAAAATATAGATCCATTAAGTTATATAAATCTTTTAACTTATAGGATTAAATTATAATCTATAATAATAAATGGTGATACATTTCATTAAACAATATGAAAAATTTGTTAGTACCATTATTTATCTCACCAGAAAAGTCTCTAAGTACTGGAAAGGAGTTAAGTTCACAGCAGAAATAAATGTTTCCCAAAATTCTAATGTTTGTTTGAAAACTCAAATTTTATCATTGGCAACAAATATTCTGAATTTTCTTATTTGAAGTGACAGGTTCACTATGTTCATTTTTTAAAAGTTTGTTAAATAGGCAAATCACTATAACTTGTTTTGTCTATCAGTTGTTCTTTCAAGCAAAAATGGTGTTCCATTAACAAGAACAGTGGCTAGCTGAGCTTGCTGCGATTTAATGAAGTATTCAGTTGGCCTAATTTGGAGTAAACCTCATATCCTTGGTGGCTATGCCTCTCCTGGTGTCTAAATTTACTCTGGGGAAATACCCAATTTGTATCTTGCCAAATGGTTACCTTTTGGAACCTAGTAGCAGAGAGAATCTTAACTGGAAAAAAAAAATTCAGAACTTCTGAGTGCCACTTTTACCCTAGCTTGTCACAACACAGAGTGAAAACCCTCGTTCTGAACACAAGAGGATAACTAAAGCCTTCTCAATATGTGCTCTTCATGCCCTCAATTACTTGGGCTCCAAGATGATTGAGAGAACACACGATAAGCAGAGAGACTTACTGAAAGACGTCAAACCAGAACCAAAATAAACAAAAAACCTGGGATATAAAGTTTCACTAACATCTCATAAGGAGTCAACAGGATTCTGGGATCTTGGAAGCTCTGCCACTCTGGCCTCACTCTCACACATTTCTCCTTCCTTTGAAACTGAAGAACAAATTTCTGTTGGTATTGAACATCTGGTCTGGCTAGCAGGGCACTAAGATCATACAAGGCAGCCATCATATCTCTTTATCTACTTCCACAAACTCCCTAAATCTAAGACAGAAAAGAAGCAGTTAGGCAATATAAAACAAGGTCCCTTATGGATCTCTCTCCTTATACAAATATGTACATTTTATGGTCTCTTTCTTTAATAATGCTACTAACTATATAGGCCTTTCTTCTAGATTTTTATTCTTATTATTAAAATACCTAAGTAATAGTTATTCATATTTTTATTTCATTTTTCTTTGTACCTTTTCACCATTGCAGGATTGTAAAGATAGATCTTCATAAAGTGTCTTTCCTTCTCATGATAACCATAAAAAGGCCTGAAATAAAAAGATATTTCAAATTATTTTCATGAATTAGAGGTGAAATAATGCAACTTACTGCCTTAATTACACTCAGCTAGCCTAATTCAATCTTATACTAAAAATTACCAAACCCTTCAAAAAAACCTCCAAGATCTTTCACTTAAACTTAGCACAAGGTTAACATATGAAATACTGAAATCTTGTTACTTCTTTTAAAAAATTTAAAAATACCACTTAAAAAAAACTGGGGACAAAAAGGAGCAGCAAATTATTTATACCTTAATTTCAGTTACCATGACTCTGATAAAAAGTGGCTCTTTTCTCTTTACTCTGATCATGTATGAGAAAAACAGAGACCTTTCAGGTACCTCCTCCCGTTTCCCATTCTTCTGCCAAAAACTAAAACTCTTCATCAACAAAGTTCTTTAATAGCATTTGTATCACTTTCCTTGTTTGTCTCTCTTTATTATTAATTTTACAAGTTCACTAAGCAGAGACAATTTATCTGTCATACTTTTGTACTTATGTATATTTGTGTGTGTGAATAAAACATATACCTAAATCAAATGAAACTTGGGAAACTGGGTAGACAGGAACTTAAGAGATTGCAAAGACCCTGGCCTTACTTAGGACCCTATTTATACTGAGGCTAGGTTCTTCTCAGGGCATCAGCTTCAGTGGGGAAAGGGAGAAGCAAAAATCTATATGACAGGGAGAGAAACAAGTCCTCAATGCAAGAAGGAATAAATTGGTCTATCATGTTATGTCATTTCAGGAGGATCTGAAACTCTGGTATGCAGACTACCATTTTCAAAAATTCTGTAGTTAGAAACAATACATAAATAGGTATGAATTTGCAGACAAAATAAAAAGTTTTATATTTGCCTAAAATTTGTCTATAAATAAGTGATTGGTTAAATCTTTAGGTGGATAAACTCAATTTCTTTTCATTTAAAAACTATTCTCTGCTTATGATGGGCACTAGACAGAATTTAGCGTCATCAGGACACCATTTCTCTCTGACATGTCTGATAGTGTAGCAGATCTCAAATATAGGAGTAATTTGGCAACACAGTCATTATTTAGGATATATTTAAATAAATTTCTTTATAGGCTATTTCAAGCCTTTAGGTCAGAGGCATCTGTATGATTACTATAAAGCAGTATCCATTAAAAAAGTTTTTTTTTTAAATTGAAGTATAGTCAGTTTACAATGTTGGGTCAATTTCTAGTGTGCAGCATAATAGTTCAGTCATACATATACATACATAAATTCCTTTTCATATTCTTTTTCACTGTAGGTTACCGTAAGATATTGAATATAGTTCCCTGTGCTATACAGTAGAAACTTGTTGTTTATCTATTTTATCTATAGTAGTTAGTATCTGGTAATCTTGAACTCCCAATTTATCCCTTCCCACCTCCTTTACCCCCTGGTAACCATAAGTTTATTTTCTATTTTCTAGAATCATGGTAGCTAAGTGGCAAGGAATCCCAGAAATGAACCTAACCTAAGGTCATGGTCCTCTCTTAATCTAGCTTCAGGATAATGCATACTCTAGGGAGACTGGAATTAAACCTTATACAAATTTTAATTTGGTAGCTAGATGCAACCGTGTCTACCTTAAAGAAGTAGGTAATATTGAAGGAGTAAAGGAATCATAGATGCTAGAATGTATAGTAAGGGAAAAGGGGATCTAGATGAGGGAAAAAAAATCCAACAAACAAATATGTTAGAATAGGAGAAAAAAAGAGAATGGCAGCCATAAATTAGGTTGAACAGCTCATCTTTTGCCTACAGGTTTCTAGATTTGTAACTCAACTAGTCTTAAAAATATGACTATGCTTTTAACAAATGCCTATCAAAAACAGAGAAAAATTGATGACTAATGATTCACGCCACTAGGCTGTTCAGAGAGTCAGATTTGAAATGAGAATATGTATAGGAAAGTTCTTAGAAACTAATAAACATAAAAAAATTAGACTATAAAGCTGATGACTATTTTTAACCTAATTGTTGCTATCACAGGATAGGTATGAACTTTTATCTCATTTATTTATTCAACTAAATAATTACTGAGACAAGCACCCAACACTATACAAGATGTTAGAGATATAATGATGGACAAGACAAACATGGTGCTTTTTCTCATTGAACTTACAAGCTGGTGGGAAAAACACATAAGAATAAACAAAGAGGGGAGGGGATAGCTCAAGAGGCAGAGTGCATGCTCAGCATACACAAGGTCCTGGGCTCAATCCCCAGTACCTCATCTAAATAAGTAAACCTAATTGCCACCCTCCAAAAGAATTAATGAACAAAAATTAAAATAACTGTGAACTATAGAAAGTACTAAAGGAAACAAAATGGGCTAAATAAGATACATAATAATAATAATGACAACCTATTTTAAGTAGGGAAGTCAGAGAAAACTTCCTTGGAAAGGTGAAGGATTTGAAGGACTGGAGAAAGGTAAAGCACTCAAGGAAAGGAAACTGCAAGTACAAAGGTAGGAAAGAGCTCGGCACATCAGAGGAACTGAAAGACCAATGTTTCTGGGTGGAACACAGTGAATAGTCAGAGAGGCAGACAGGGGTCAGATCACACCGGCTGTGATTAGAAGCTTAAATTTTATTCTATAAACAATATGAAGCCACCAAAGGATTTTAAATGATTTTAAAAGATCCAATTTACACTGTAAGAAGAATACTTCTGTAGCTCTGATGTGAGACAAGAATTGAAGAAGGAAATTCAGTTAAAGGATGCTGTGGTGGTCCAGAGGAAAACTTGGAGTAAGGTGGAAGAAGCAGACAGATTTAGATGGATTTCATATAGACATATCCAACTCCTATGTTCCACTATCAGGTCCAAATCTTTCCTGCCAGCCTGCTCTACCTGTACAGACTCAATACTTGGTAGTCATCCTTGACTCCTCTCATAACCCTCATCCAATCAAATAGCAAATCTTGCTGACTCAACCCTCTAGAATAAATCTAGAAGCTGACCACTTCTCACTACCACCCTAGTTCAAGCCATCATATATTCTCACTCAGATTTATGAAACAGAGTCCTAATTTTCTCTCTGCTTCTACTCTTATGCCCCTATGAGCTATTCTTCACACAGTTGCTAAAGTAACTCAAGTTTAAGTTAGATCATGTCTGCTCAAAATCATGCAATAGCTCAGAGTAAAAGCCAAAGCCCTTACAATAGCCGACTGCAGTCATTCTCAAGCTTTAGTATGTATCAGAATCATCAAAAAAGGCTTATTAAAAATAATGCCATTTGCAGCAACATGGATAGACCTGGAGATTGTCATTCTAAATGAAGTTAGCCAGAAAGAGAAAGAAAAATACCATATGATATCACTTTTATGTGGAATCTTAAAAAAGACAAATGGACTTATTTACAAAACAGACTCACAGACATAGAAAACAAATTTATGGTTACAGAGGGGTGGTGAGAAGGAACAAACTGGGAGTTCGAGATTTGCAGATACTAACTACTATATATAAAATAGATAAACAACAAGTTTCTACTGTATAGCACAGGGAACTATATTCAGTATCTTATAGTAACCTATAATGAAAAAGAATGTATGTATGTATATGTATGACTGAACTACTACGCTGTACACCAGAAATTGACACAACATTGTAAACTGACTATACTTCAATTAAAAAAAAAAGAAAGGCTTATTAAAGCATAAATTTCTGGCCCCACCACCAGAGTGTCTAGGGTGAGACCAAAAGATGTATTTTCACTAAGCTCCTAGGTGTGTTAGTCTGAGTCCTCTAAGAAGTAGATGCCAAAATGGGGAAGAAATTAGTGGAAATACCTGTGAGAGAAAATGAAGAGGAACCCAGGAGAGGGTGGGACAGCCATGACGCTTAGGTACAGGTCTGATCCAAGTGAAGGAGAGAGGAATCGAGGGAACCTCAGTGGAAGTGTCTTCTACTGCAGTGTGATTCTAATGAAAATTCAGATAGGCTTTTCAAGAGTCCTCAAGTGTCTCCCAGAGATAGGCCTGCCTTAGTATCCTTGCCATGCTTAGCTACTGGCTAGGAGTAGCCTTGGAAAGCAGCTTTAGCTTATACAGGACGACAGACAGATTTTAGTGTAGTAGCTGGAGCCATTGTTCAATTATGTTCCCTGCATTTGGAGATCTGAAAGGTGCATTCTCATTGCTGTCAAACCAGGTAAAATCGATTCTGGTGACCCACTGGCCAACATGATCTCCGTCCTCCTATGTCTCTCTAACCTCATCTATCCACTCTTCTTTCTCCTGATTCCAGCTACCTGGCCTCCATTTTGTTCCTACTCCCTTACCTTCAAGTCTTTGCTCAAATGTCACTTACCTTGTCAATGACACCTTCCTTGACTACCCTATGTAAAACCACCACCAGTCCACTTCCCCACCCTACACTATTGATCCTTTTTATCCTGCTCTACATCTTTTATTCTATAGCACTAATTATTATGCAATAAATAAATTTATTTCATGTTATGTCTGTTGGCTATTTTCTGTGTTCCAATACTAGACTATAACCTCCATGGGGGTATGGATCTCTGTTTTGTATATCCCAAGCACCTAGAACAGTGCCTGGCACGTAGAAGATGCTCAATAAATATCTGATGAATGAATCACATGAATTTTTATAGTTCTAGGAAGCAGAGAAATGGAAAAAGTTAAAATAAAAATCACTGTTAACCGTCTATCTTTTATTGCAGTAAAAATTTATTTTAAAAAGTTATAGTAAGCAATTCACCCCAACTCCGTTAGATTAGAAGTTAAAACAAAAAAAAAGAACAGCAATATAAATACAGATAAACAGAAATTTAAAAAGATGTTATCATATACTTACATTCCTGATACTAATGACACTTTGAACACGTGCTGAGCAGTGGAAGATGGATTGCCTAAAGCCACATTAAGTGCTCTGTCGATACTGAATGCCATCTGAGAAAGATAGCTTTCTGGCTGCTGTCCATAACCATCGTATGGCACATAGAGGTAAGGAAAGATGCCATGTAGATGAAGACATGTCTTCTGACCTAAAATGTAACACATCATAACATTTAGTCTTGAGATGCATTTTAAAACTTTAACATTACAAAGCTCAAAATCCAAGTTATTTAAATGGTCTAAGGACAACACAGCTTATCTAAGGGAAGGGTTGAAAAATTTAACCCTTTAGTTAAAACCACCTGTACTAACCACATTTTATAACAGAATATTTAGAAGAATTTTAAATATAAGCATTATAGTATGATTTAAACAGTAGTTTTGGTAAAAATATGTTTGAATATTTCACCCTCACAATCTGACTACTTCTATGCACTTCACTGAACTGTCCTATTAATACTACTTAGCACAGTGTCATAAAGCTTAGAAAAATTCACTAAGAGGTTACTAAATGAGTCAATGAATATCTATCTGGGCATAAACATTTTCAAACAAGAGACTTTGCTAAGACAGAGACAGCTCTGGGAGAAAGGAGGGGGTAAATTATAGCAGTTCCAGTGTGTGGAGCTTTGCTATTGGGAGGAAGGAGTTGGGAAAGGTAAAAACAAAATTTTGTTATTAGGGAAAAAACAAACAAACAAAAACAGACAAAAATAAATCAAAAGAAAACCTTTATAGATCAACTGTAATGGGCTTCTGGATATCTAAATCGCACATTTGGTGGAGTGGGACAGGGGAGACACAATGAGGGGGAGAAACAAGCACACACACTTTCCAGGAAACCATTGTTATCAGGCAAGGAACAGAAGGGGTAAATGGTGCTGCCTGCCAACAGACAATCTGGCCCAGCCAAAATAAAGTAAGTAATATGAGTAGGCACCCACAAAAAAAGTGCCACAGAAACAGTAATGTATCTATGACAAGGTTAAGTAACAGCAGCAGCAAAAAAAGCAGACGCACCATTACTCGCATGAATTTGGCAGGACTGTATAAAAGTGGTTCCTGTCCTCAGAACACTGTCCCTAGTTCCATTTGGGCACATGCCACTTATTTAATTCAAACAGAGAGAACAGCAGCGATGCAAGAACACATCCAGTTTTCTCATGCTGTCACTATCACTGTATTGCCCTGCCAACACAATCTTAGGGCTTCTTCCCAACCCCTGACCCCACTCTGTTCCACTGGCTTTTTCTTTTGGTAGAAAAGTAACTGTTTATTTGAACACTATTTACAATTAAGAGTGATTTATGTAAAATATACAGAAAATAGTTGTGTTCTGTTGATAGCTTGTATTTACACGTTTAACGATGAATAACATCAGCTTGTCTTATTTTTAAGGTACAGCTCTAAAAGAATTAAATAAATCTGGAATAGTTATCACATAGTATAGCTAAACTGAAAATAATCACATAATGGAATTAGATCTATACTCTCCCAAGTGCAGTATTCTGATTTGAGCTACCAATTTCGATACTTTTGAAGAATTACAAATTGTATTGTTGTTAGACCAATTTCAGTTTCTATTTTAGCAGCAGTTACGCTACTTAACTTCAAATGAATGAAAACTTTTCAGTTAAAAGCAAATTCTTTGACTATTCCATTTCATTTGTAAATATAGCATGATAGTATTTCCTAAATATTGTAGCTTTTAATTCTGCAAATAGAAAAAATTCAAATTTTAATAAAGAGTGAGTCTTCAGCAAATTCATTTCATCAATCTACTGATGATCTATTTGAATGCTTTTTAAACACCTCATGAAAACAGGTTATAACCATTACCCTTCTGGATATAAGCTACAATTTGCTTAAAAGCAACTGGTATGCTGAATCATGGGGTGGGGAGGTGGGGAGACAGAAAACTTTTAAAGTTTTTAGGTTGACAAATAAAATCTAAGGCCAGTGATTACAGAATTACTAGCATACTTCACAAACAATATTCTAAGTCCTTAAGATATTAATTTTACAGTCTGTATCTTAATGATGGAAATTTGGGTAAACTTTACAAGAAATAATTATAAAATTTGATTTTTACTAATAGTTTCTTTATAGGCAGGATGTTTACAAAGTTCATAAAAAAATTTAAAATATCCTCTTTTCACATTTCCTGTGAAATAGAGGCCAGAGAAATGATCTTTTTATTTACAGGTTTTGTAACCATAATAATTTGTGGTGTATGATATAGGAAAAAAGCAGAAATGATTTATTCATAAGGCACTGGACTAAGTGCTCTATATATATTTACCAAGTAAAACTTAGAACAACCTTACAAGTATCACAGAGGTTAACTTTCCCAAGTCACAAACCGATTAAGTAATTGAATCAGGATTTGAAAGCAGAATAACGAAATCTAAAACCAATACTCTTTCCATTTAACCATGCTGGTTCAATTTTTTCTTTTAAAAAGTTAATACTGGCTTCCTTAATCCTTAATTCCTCAGTTTTTATTTCGTATTACAAACACTTGTTTCCTTATCTGACTCTCCCATTTGACTGCAAATTCGTGGGGAGCTAGTGCTGTGTTTGAATGATCATAGTATCCCCAGGATCCAGCACAAAACACAGACTATGTGTTTAATAGATACTTATTAAATGAATGAATGAACCTCCAGCAAAACAGAACAGTTGCTCAAGGAGAAACGAATGGTGTGCAAGCTTAGAATATCTGAAACAAACAAATATATGAAAACAGAGGGACTCTGATACAAGTAAGGCACTACCATCAGGGTTACAGAAGGATATGGGTGTTGTGAAGAGTTTCCAGCTAATTGTGCTTTTCTACCCTGAATGACCTGAAGTTCCTTGCAAAGTCACAGTCACTACATCAAGACAGATTTATCTCCCTCTAGTTCTCCAGCAGCTGGACATGGCTCAGTGCCTTACCAGCCACCCTTCCTCGAGAACAATTTCCTGAAGAACCACAGCACAAGGAATTCTTGGCAGAGCAGTAACAGCTCTAATACAGAATAAGTATCACAGAAATTATGAGAAACTAGATAAAACAAGAACTCAAAAAGTTAAACAAAGAAAGAGAAATGTGTAAAAATGAACATGACAGTCAATTTCTTTTTGGCAACAGTCATCTTTTATTTTTGTAAAATTTGTGGTTCTGTTATAGCACTGTTGTATCCTGACAAAATAGAGACCAGTTTAAAAAATTTCCCTCTGTCAGCTTTACCCCACACAAATATGTGGAGCCCCATAACTGTAAAGTCCCTTAGAGAGAAACTTGTCTACCCTGACCCCCATCAGTTAGGATTAGGTTAAGCTGTGAGAAAACACCCTCAAATCAAATTTAAGCATTGTATCAGTGACTTCTCTCTCATAAAAGCCCAGGGAGCTGGTACTAGGGACTTAGATTTTTTTCAACAACTATTTAGTGGCCCAGTTAAGAGGAATGTTTGACTTCAGTCCAGAGGCTTTTCCCCTATAGTCCAAAGAGTTCCACACTCAAGATTCATTTAAGAATGTTTTTTTATAAAATCAATGAAAGCTAGGTCATTTTGAAATCTTACTAAATGATTTGGGATTCTGAAAGGATTTTTGATATTAGCTATTTCTAAGTAATATGTCGATCCAAAGAAAGAAAACATCCCTACTTTCTGAATGTCCCCTACTGTCACATCAAACTGAATTAAGGCAACAAATCCAGTAGGGATAAAGACTGTCTTTGGGAGAATAAGCCTATGTACACAGGTTTTGGAAAATTTTTAAGAGTTTGAATTTTCCAGTTTGAGTGATGTTGCTTCATTCAGAAACTGAACAAAGTTGTTTCAGGAAAGCACCATGGAACTTGTCACAGCATAACTGCTGACTTCTAAAAACACTGTAACAAAACTCTGTGGAGTTGGCTGCTTTCCAACTGTGTGAAAGTAGGGTTTCTATAACTAAGGTAGGTGCCTCTGTAACAGTATTTGGGCACTCTAAATCTAATCTTTCATAGAATTTAGGATTATATCAAACAATAAATCCTTTGTATTACATTTCTTATTTCCTCTTCCTGCATTTTCTTCTATATTTTAAACACCCAGATTTAGCCTCTTAATTAATTGTGCTTCTAAAATCTTGTCAGTTTATCCATAGCAAAACTACTTTCAATAAATAGAAAGACTAACACATGTCATTCCTCTAATTCTAGGGTCTGTAAATTTATTTTTCTGTAAGTGGCAGACAGTAAATATTTTAGGCTTTATGGCTTATACCATCTCTGATACAACTAATTCAGCTGTTGTAGCCTGAAAGGAGTCATAGACAGTATTTAAGTGAATGGGCACGGCTGTGTTCCAATAAAATTTCATTTACAAAAACAGGCAATGGGAGAGTTTTGGTCCATGGATAGTAATTTGCCAATCCCTACTGTAATTGATTAGACTTCCCCATCAACTGGAACAAAAAAGTTTAATGTCTTCTCCTTTTTAATTTCTTTCTTTCTTTTCTTTTTTTAAACAAGCTGATTGGTGTTCACAATCAAAATCATGCTGGCCTAAGAGTATCTTAGGAGATTGAATAGGAAATGCTCATTTTGTAATTTGCAAACCACATCTTCCAAATCTCAATCTATATAAGATTTTAAACAAAACTACAGAGCTACCAAACAAAAAAACTTGGTTATGTAAACAGGAAAATACATATTTTTGAAATTTTCATATTTTCTTCTTCATGGAATATCTCTTTTTAAGTTTTGTATTACTACTGTTAATTCAGTATTTCCCTCCGATCTTTGCTTCTAATCTAAAGATTCACTCCATCTTTCTTTCCCCATCCCCACAAAAACCACAAAATAAACCAAACTCCTCAGTCATAGTTAGAAAGCAAGTGTTATATCACCTATCCTCATTAAAAAATAAAAGTCTTAAGGATGTACTCTTAGCCCTAGAAATGACTATTTTCCCCCCAGAATTTGTGTTAAGGAAACATTAAGAATGTGCATAAAGATTTTGATATTAAGATGCTATGATATTATTATTAATAATAGTAAAAAATTGAAGACATTTTCTAAAATAGGAGATTAAGTAATTATGGTATACCTGTATTATAAAATAGGTCTCTGGCTCTCATACCAAATCCTGCTGTCTGCCCGTTTTAATAAAGT